TCACAGTTTTCATTGGCTTTTTGTTCCCCCCCCCCCCCCTTATTTCTGCTCAGACACCGTGTGCCACAATATAATCAAATACGATCATGGCCAACCTGTAAAACTGTTGTAAGTGTCTCTTAACCTCTCTCTCCATTCCTTCTCCATTGTTTCCTCGTTTTTGAGCCTAATCGCTCCCTCACTCCGCACTGGGCATTCACAATGTAATTATATATGATTTACAAACAGCTGCAGCCATAATGGTGTATAAACAAATTACAGAACCAGGGAGGAAAAACAACAGAGGAATAAAGAGATGAAGACGGAGAGAAATTGGCCCGCATCAGACGCAGTCAGTGGTTTGGCTGTTTTTTTGGATCATCGCTTTGGCTCTCCCTTCGACACAAAATGAGCATTCACGCTCGACATGCTTTACCCCTTCTGCAGGCAGATATTTAGTTGTCCGTATGCCAACGTTAAAAAGGAGTCTGCCTCTGTAATGCAGAGTGTCCTCGCTGCTCTCCCTTCCTAATGTGATTGCTAGTATTCATTCTGAATTTCACAAGGATGCATAAGAGCCTGCTCAATTGACCCCCCGAGGGCCTAGATTTTCTCTCTGTGATGGCCTGCAGCATGAAAAGCTAATTGCAGACTTTGTACATGATTGCAGTCATACTGATTAACATGCGATTGCCTGCTTTTCCTGAATGTGATGTCATACTTACACATTCTCCAACCACGGCACTGCAGGGAAAACACTCAGCATTCCGTAAACCTGCACACATGGAAGTGTTCGGGATGAATTCGTAACCCCAAAGTCGGTACACCTTTTGTCCAAGAAACGTGCACAGCAAATTGAATGTGCAAATCCCAACAGAGAATAATGATAATGCACGAGGCACACTCTGCATACTAAATCAAACACTTCCTGCAAACGTGGACATGTACATTATAAATTGCTCAGCAGCGCACGGGGAAGAAAGGTGTATGAATTAAAAGTTTACTGCTCCTAGGACACTGCCTGAGACGAGGAAGTGCTAAAGGGACAGTGTGATGCGATGACTATATTTAGCTCCTCATATTAATGATCCTTCAGAGTCCCGCACTATAAGCATCAGGAGTTGATGGCTTGATTTGTCAACTTAATCAGCCAAATGTAAAAAAGGAAACTGCGCAGAATGACATCAGGAGACATATTTTCATTGTTTCAGCCAGAGGATGGACATGGATTTATTGTTAAAGTGTGACTGGACTTGACTTGGAAGCAATTGGAGTGAATGTATGGGTCACAGCAGATCGTAAATCATCTTGTTAAACTTGGCGATCCATAACACTGTACTGTCAGTGCCCTTTGACTTCATAACCCCAATATATATATATAAAGAGATAGTCCCATGGGTATATCCAGCCCACAAAGTAAACCTATAAAACATTCCAACTTGTCGGCAGTAAGACATGGGAAAGAAAAATAAAACAATCTGAGTCAGAGGGAACAAAACACACTTTTTCTACAAATGCTGCAATAAACCCAGTGAAGGTATTAGACTTAATAAAACACATCAGTACCAAAGATATGTATTTGGGTTAAACATATTCATTAAAGATGTTACATCAGAACATGTCAGTGTTCCCTTGCAGTAGTACATGTAACACATTTGAGGTGCTTGGGAACATACCGTACTAAAAACCTGTATATCTTTCAGTAAAAATGAAAAATCAATAGGTCTTAGTCTAGAGGTAGACATCCATCAGATTTTCATCAAATGGTTCAAAGCGAGACATCTGAGCGTCAGACAACGTCACTTACTGTTACAGCACTTTTCCATGGTGCTAGTAGGAGTAAGAAGCATGACTGCATTGTAAGTTCAATTCAAAGCTCGAGTATTTTAGCAGACCATCTGATCCTACTGCAAGGAATTGGCTGTCAAACTTCTGAAAAGCAGAGATTCGTATCAGATCTTCCCCAGTAATCAGGTCACTGTTCACGCTTAAATTCCACCATTAATACGCATCACATGTTATAGCCAAACTTCCATACTGTAGTTCGACTCTGCTGCTGTACCATTTACACGAATGGAACATTTGTAATCAGGTTGGGCTAAGAGGCTCCATCCATTAAGGCTTCATGCGAGTGCATATATTTAGCAGGTAGAACGCTCTTTCGGCTCATGTGTCATTTATTCTGTCCTCTCCGGGCCTGAAGTGGAACATGGCCCAGGAACAGAAATAAATAAATAAGTCGGTGTGTAAATATACACACATAAATTCACGCCAGTGCACTCTGAGAAGGAAGGAAGGCACACACTAACTTTTTTTAATTAGATTAATAAATCAAGGAGGTGGCTGGATGTGACGGCTGTAGCCCAATGCCACTCCAGTAAAGGCTGCAACAAGCCGCCGTGGCTAATATGGAGCATACTGACGTAACAACACCACCTCTGTGTGTGTTTGTGATGGTGTGTATGAGGCAAGATGGTTTGGGAAGCAATTCATCTGATGTGTTTTCCAAAAACTGCTTTCTCTCCAAAACGCTGAGGATGTGTCTGTTTGTTATGTGTGTGTATTTATGCTCCTATTCCCCTCACTGCATTCATCAGCAGTTGGTGTAGCAGTGGGTGGCCAATAAGGTGTTTGGACACCCCACCCCTCCTCTGCCCTGACCCCATTCACAATCAAACCGAGCTCCCAGCTTTTCCTTCACACTCCAAATCCCTTCGTACCCCTCGCTGGTGTTTTTCCTTTATGTTTGACATGCTAATGAAGGTTTCCTGTCTGCTGGTTGGCAGCTGCTCCGCTACCTCAGCTCACATAAACAGCATCATTATTCATGTTTTCTCTTTTTTCCCAATAGCAGAACTAATTTGAGGTGTTAATGATAACTCACCTCAGCAGTAAAGAATGGTGTTTTGTTTGGGGGTACAGTAATATGCATAGTAAGCAGAACATGCACATTTTACACACACTGACTGCATTTATGTAAAGAAAGCAGGTTAGTGGGAAAAAACGCGTTAAGACAGGGGAATGAGTTTACACGAGCAGCATTCACTTGGTTACTTTAAACCCAGGTTTACGTCCAGACGGTCAGCAATTCGATTTGTTTTCCGTCTTGTTTTTATCCAAGGCTGGCATATTTCGAGTGTATTAGTGATACATGAAGCTGCAGCTTGAAATGTTGTTGTTTTTTTGTTCATAGCATTTGGACTGATGGCACAGTGAGAGGACAGACTGCGTGTGAGAGCACAGTGTATCCCTGCTTTTTTCAAATTTAACAAATCTGCTGTTCAGCTGAGAAAACCGACATATTCGTCTTAGTGGCATTTTTATATTGGGGTCATCTTTTATATGTAGCTGACATTTATCAAATACAATGGGAGAGAACCAAGAAGTGTATTCATTTCTTACATTGCTGACTTAATATGCAAATCTTCTCATTCATAGTCACATATAAATATATATATATTTCAATAGAAAGTGGTCAATTTTTGGAGTAAAGATCCCTCTCGTTACTCAGGAAAAACTTCTTTAATGTGATTTTACATCACAAAAGAAATAAAATAATATATTTCATATTTAACAACCCTGTAGGAACCAGTGCTGTGTACATGGCCAAGAAACTGGGTTTCCTTTCAGGTTGACTGTAAGTTTTTATAGATATGTCTGATAAGATTTTATTTGAGCCTCTATACTGTACCCTCCCAATGTATAATTGAGTGTGGTTAGACATGCTCTATCACTGATGACCCTGGCTTCCCAAAAAACCTCCTCCAGGTGGTAGATCAGTGAAAATGGCCTCTAAAAATACAACATAAAATTTCATGTGGAGCACTTTGCTAAACTAGCTGCAGTCATTTCTTCCGCACATTTCACCCACTCACCCCCCCATACACACAGCGACTTTAAATATCTGTTCATAAACATACTGTGCCATACACAAACAAGTATACCATACATATGACACAAACGCCGGGAAGTAACATACTTAGTGGCGCCATAATCATCTCCCTCATTGTAACTGATGGGTACAAATCGAGCTGCCACTTACCGCAGTCATTGACTCCATGGAGCACTGACTCTCTATCTGATGTCTCCAACCTCCACCATATCGACAGCCACAATCTCACCTTGAAACCACCATAATGTGTCTGCCGTGCATGATATAATGGCTTGATAGGCCGTAAAGGCCCATTTTATGCTGGATCCTGTTAGTCAAAGCTGTATGTCTCCAGCAGGGTCAAACCAGCATTAGCTGCATGGTGCTAAATGGCTTACAGCATTTATGTTTGGTCTCAGTTCTGTAAAGGTCAGTTTGGGTTTACTTGGGTTTGAAGTTGATTATGACAAACAATTAGAGCTGAAGTATATCATCCTTAAATGTCATTGTCTTTTCTTCTTATCCCGAGGTAACACTTTATAAGCATTTTATGTTTGTGTGACTGAAGAGCTGTGTGTATTTGTATTCTTTGATTGTTTGTATGAAAGTTAATTTACCCAAAGCAGTGATGTTGTTCAACTGAAACCAGGTGTTTTATTATAAACCATGCTGGAGCAGGCAAGTAATTATCTCAACAAAATTCAGAACAATGCTAACTAGAAGCACTCCCATTAATTGCAGCGCTGCTATTCATTTTTAGCCATGGATGTGTATTTATTTGTCTTTAATTTGATTCCACTACTAATGTGGGCTTCCTCTATATTTAATAAGTTAGCTAAGTCTTTATTATTGTCTGGCCATTTTTGTTTTACTTGCTATGCCACAATTGCTGTATCTCTGTTAATGTCCCCGCTGTAGGAGTAATAAAGGAATTCTCTGTTGCTTAAAAAACGACATTTAAGACCAATTATACACAAACACAGCTTCACATACAGTATGTAACTTCTTCTCTATGGGCGTATACTGCTAATAGAGGCAAAACTGTACACTTTTCAAAGTAAAATGAAAACAGCCAATAGTGATGTAATGAAATGCAACTTAAAGAAATAAACAAAAGCTGTTAGTCTAAGTGTGTCTGTGTGTTTCTCAGGGAGCCAGTTGGAGAGTCTGATGGAGACCATGAGAGCAGAGATCGCCGCCCAGCCGCCCGTGGAGGGGTCCTACGCCCCCCGCCGGGGGGATTACTGCATAGCCAAGTTTGCTGATGACGAGTGGTAAGCAAACATTTCAATATGCGTGATCGTATTGAAGAGCTTATAAGACTTTAACCCTTCAGCAAGAGGCTCTTTACTGAATCCTGAACATATCAAGCAGCTGCTCTCATGGCAACCAGTGTTGGGCTAGTTACTCAAAGATAAGTAATGCCTTATAAGTAAGTTCTTTTGCAAGCCAGTAATTGATGTTGAACAGAAACTAAGTCCACAAGTGAGACATTTTACAGTTTGATTAGCTAGATTTCCTTGAGACATATATATATACGTATAATCGTGTTTCTCCTCTCGAGAACACCCGACGTTTCGTTTTTACCTTGTCTCTTTCGCAGCCTGTGATGCGTTTGCTGCAGACACCTACAGGTGGTGATTAGCTCTCTGCCTCTGCTTTGGCCTTTCAGCAGTGGCTTGACAGTTACACACACACACAGCGCACACACACACACACACACACACACACACACACACACACACAGCGCACACCTCATCTCCTCACCGGATGTTGGACGTTTACAGATGGTCATGGGGACAGATAAAAGTCACAGTGATCGAGGGAGGGAGAGAGAGAGAGTGGAAAAAACGATCACAGAACTGATTAAAAACCAAATGTTCCCTCCACACAAGTACTCTCCTTTCCCTCCTACATTCTTCCCTCTTATCTTCCTTGTCAGATTTTAACGGGGGGAAAATAAATATGATGTTCTACCCATGTCCAAGCCACCGGTGCACGTCGACGTATATTGACCTTCAGGTTCTTCAGTATGTTTTGTATAAAAACAATTGTATTCCTGTTACAGTAATCCCGCACCCAGTAGTAAACATTTGCGATTTTTGTCTTTTTTCTCCAGTTTTGTAGAGCAAGCTCATTATGTTCATATTCACATTGTTCTCAGTTCATAGCTTTGTATTCTGTGATGCATGTGGAATGTGGGCTTGTTTCATTAGGGGCCTAATTAGAAACTCGTCGCCTTTTAAATCTTCTTAGAACACCAGAGTCGGAGTTAATAGAAAAGGAAGACCTCTGTTCATCAGTCACTAAAACACTGTCTCTTTCTCTTCCTCTCTGTGCCGTTCTTTATTACTCTTGTAAATCTCTGATTAGCTTTCATTTGTTCTCTCGTCTTTTACATTTTGCCCATATGGCCGTAATTATTTGCCATTGTTGCTTCTCGGCCATGTTGTCGTCCCCTCTCTCGTCCGTGTCAAGTAATGGTCAGATACAGAAACACTTCCTGAACTATAGGAAAACATACCTTTTTTTTTAGCTCATATATGAATTCATGAGTATGGTTTAGCTCTCACAAAGAGACTTTTCTTTTATCTGTCACTGATCTGGAAATCCAGTTTATTTTCATTACATTCAGCCTGCCGAATGTGCTGGAAGAAATCCAACCTTACGAAGTGAAAATGTTGGGCTTTTGTGGTTATCACTAATGCACTGAAGTTATTTGCTACAAGGCAAAATGGGTCTAAATGTCTGTCCTTTATTGCAAAGAGGCCTCTGTGCAATTTTCCCATCCCTGCCCCGTGCTGATAGATCCCCTCTGTCCCCCCTCACTCCCCCGGCCGGATCTTCCTCTCCCACTCCTCCGACCCGATCACAACAGACAGGTCCTGCAACACCTTCTCCCCAGGGAAATAAGCACGGAATCATTTACTCATCTCCTTTTCCTCTTGTGCCCTCTGTCTTCATCTCCCTTTCCCTCTGTTCTCTCTCTCTCTCTCTCTCTCCCCCCCTTTCTGTCTGCCTCTCTCCCTCTTTCTCAATTATTCTATTTCTGCTGCAGGTACAGAGCCAGAGTGGAGAAAGTTGAGTCACCGGCAAAGGTTCATGTCTTCTACATTGACTACGGCAACGTGAGTAACCGTGACCACGAATTGTACTGTGCTAAAAGTGTTGCCTGTTGCATACTCATCATTAAAGCATAGTGCTGTTGTTTGTGACTCCAAACGAATCACAATGTTTAGAAACGGCCAAACCCACAGCCAGAGGCGCTCTCGTATCCAAAGAGGGATTTCTTTTCTAGTTCTTTCATCTATTCAAACACCAGTTGTTTGCTTAACCGCCTTTATGTATCCTCAGCTGGAGTTTTTAGGACAAATATGATGCAGACTTGTTTGTGTATTCCCTTCATTCGGTTATGACTGAAGCAAAGAGCGTTTGCTTTTTATTCCTTCTTTTCATAACAATGACAAAAGCAGAAATCCCCCACTCTCTAGTCATTTTATTCATTTTCTGTGATGACGAAGGCATTGCATCCTCGTGAGTGCGTTTTCGTGTGCGTTTCTGCCGACGTGCGTACACATGCTTGCATCACCAAGTGGCTCATGCAGCCAACCCCCGGCCTGCGGGAGATTTCCCATGAGGCAGTGGAGCGGCACAGTGTGTGACTGACCTTAGAGCGGGGGACAGCTCGAGGTTTGGCTGGCAGACGCGATGTGTCCTGGCATGTTGCTGAAAGTGTGATTCTCCGAGGCCGACCTGGCGCACCGGAAAAAAAAAAAACCACCGCTGATATCCACCTCCTTCTCCGTGGTTTTACATCATTGAAGGTTGAGTCACTCCGGCCTTGATTTCATGCCTCTGTGTCACGAGCTATTCGTTGGTGATATTGCCACCCATCTCGGCTATAGGTCATTCCCTGAATTATGATGTGATCATTAACAAACAGCACTTCTGCCTTTTATTTTTAAGGCCAGCATTTACAGTGCTGTCAAACTCAAATATGGCCGTGATAAATCTTATTCCATGATAAACATCCAAGGCCTTCTCTGTCTAGACTGTACAGTCCAATGAACACATTAACCTAAGATATGGGGGGTCATTAAATTAACTCCCCATTCTAATGGCTGCATGTGTCTGACTTTCCACCTGCATGGTCTCCCTTCAGGAAGCTTGCGGTGGTGCTCACATGGCTCAGATCTGACAAGATGTTTGAGCTTTTTTATGCTTCATATCAGGGAAATGTTGTAATTATGCTTTATATATAGCAATGTACAAACTGGAGTGCTGACCTTGCAATTAGCAGTAAAGATGAAAATGTTGGTAGGCGTGTCAGCATGAATACAGAGACAAGAGCTCATGTTGATTACTGTACTGTACATCCAATCTTTATTTTAAATAGGATTGTTAAAGGCGTGGAAAGATAATGATTTCATAAAATGTGATTCCTGTTATCATTGCTTAATTAAACCCAGGTTATTGTCTCTCAGGAACACTTTTAAAAAAGTGTATTTGTTAGTTTGTAGTTATTGAATGAATAGCAAGCATAATTGTATTCAAATGCACACTTGCAAGTAGTATGTTTTACTGCTTTAAGTGTGTTTTATGATCTGTCAAGATCTGACTGCCAACTTGACATCCATTGTGGTCTTTACTCTTAGTTTGTAGCTGATCTACAGAGCAGATGGAGCTTAGTGAAGGGGCTTCATAATGCTGCAGAAACAGCTGTGAAATAATTGTTAAGGTGACATACATAAGGGCATGAAGCCCTTAAGCTACAAGATGGCATCTGTCCTTCTATCACAGTTGTAAACCATCATTGTTAAAGTGACACAAAGATGTCAGAATTGATTCAGAACCGAGGTAAAATAGAAACATGACGGAGTGCGGGATGGATTTACAGCCCGAGTGTGTGCTGTGTTTGATTTGAAGATGCCCTTCACTTGCAGAGGCATTTGATTTGTGAGATGCACTCCGTAATGTAAAGAAATCAGAATGTGAATTTTCATCCCAAACTATTTGTTTTTCTTATTTGTATCCAAACTGAACAGCCCTTGACATCTCTTGCTTGGCTTGCTTTGCTGCAGTCGTAGCAGGAGAGATGGATGTCTCTGTCATGTTCGCTTAGACAAAGTCATCACCACAGACATACACTCCAACTGTTGGAGCTTAACTTTACTATCTCAAAACCTCAGACATAAACCAAGAGTAAATCTTTGTTACCTTTTTAAAACAAGAATTAAATTACAGCTTCAATATTTGGTCTTGATAACACAGAACAACAAATGCTGCTGTGTGTCAACGTATCATAGCACAGATAAACACCCTGAATGTATTTTATTGAGTGTGTTCTGTTTCCCCCCTCAGAGAGAAGTTGTGTCATCCACTCGTCTGGCTGCCATCCCCCCCGCCTTCAGCACCCGGACCCTGCCCGCACAGGCCACCGAGCACGCCCTCGCCTACATCCAGGTCCCGTTGGACGTAAGTCAAGTGCCGAGTAGAGATATGTGTCGCGGCTGAAGGCCTCAGAATTAACTTTTCGAGATATCAACGTCTTCCGTCTCATTTTCCGCTAGCATTTGAAAGTTGACTTTTCTGGCGAGACACACTATCTGTTTGAGTTTGACTTATCGCACGAGGTGATAAGTCTGTAACTGACAGACAGGGACCAGTTTTCATTCCGAGCAAGAAAATTCTGCTCATACATAATGCATGGAGTACAAGCAGTCGGAGCGACGACCAACACTGATCCATTGATTTACTTTGTTGCAAACAATTATAGAATAATTGACATAGTAGCAGAGAGACATTAATGTTTCATGGACAATTTGATAAGGTACAGTATACAATATTTCTTCAATAACCCAGCCTGCCTGCCATCCTATAGATGCATGTACTTCATGGGGAAGTGTTTATGCATATAAATGTCCATCTGATAGCCCAACAGCAGTTCCTATTTTTTTGCATCCTTAATCTTCTTGTTTACACAAGTGTGTTGACTCAACCTCCGGTGTGTGTGCTTGTCTCTGTGTGTGTGTGTGAGTGACTGTGTGTCAGGGGGTCAACTCATTGGAAGCCTCCTGAGCCGGCAGCATGAATAGTTTGCACAGATACAAACTGTTGATGTTTTTTTTAGGGACATGCCTGATTGGCACAGTACTAAGCCCTGTCTTAAATTGGTTGTGTGTTTGTGTGTGTGCGTGCATGTGTGTTACTTTAAAGAGTATTTGTTCTACTTAGCCTAGATAAGCATTAGGATGTTTGTTCCTAGAATTAAAGACTAGTTTTCACAATGTACACGCTTGCTTGCTGCTGATTTGGATTATTTATCGACACTCAGTTTCCATTTTATCATGTACATCTATCTAAAGGTAATGCAATCTAATACAGCAGTCGTGCAATAAATCCTACCTTTATGACGGTTATAGTGTTGCTAGTGTTTAGAGAGACGTCAATTCAACTTTATGGGTAGTTTAGAGGCTCTTGTCGTAAATATGAGCCTGTTTTGTATTTGTTTTATTTATAATAAAAATAAAAATGTGAAGCCCACATTTTTTTTAATCTAAATATAGATGTGTGTGTGTGTGTGTGTGTGTGTGTGTGTGTGTGTGTGTGTGTGTGTGTGTGTGTGTGTGTGTGTGTGTGTGTGTGTGTGTGTGTGTGTGTGTGTGTGTGTGTGTGTGTGTGTGTGTGTGTGTGTGTGTGTGTGTGTGTGTGTGTGTGTGTGTGTGTGTGTGTGTGTGTGTGTGTGTGTGTGTGTGTGTGTGTGTGTGTGTGTGTGTGTGTGTGTGTGTGTGTGTGTGTGTGTGTGTGTGTGTGTGTGTGTGTGTGTGTGTGTGTGTGTGTGTGGGGCATGCTGTCACCTGTCTCATGAGTCAGTGTCTCCTGAAGGATGAAGTGGCCCATCTGTTGGTCCAGCCCAGGGAACAAAGGCACCACCTACACTATACAGCCCCCAGACACACACACACACAGTCTGAAGCTTTCCCACATGTTAGGGGTTGACATGCAGCTTCCACCTTTCCTGCTCACTCTTTCTCTGTCACTCTGCATCTGTCTAACCTTTTTCCTGTTGTTTCTCTTTGCTCTTGGTTTGCCTTTTGATGTGTTTGCCGTGTGTGTTTATCTGAAGCTTTTTACTGTGTCACTCGCGCTGACAGCACGGTAACTCACTTGTGCTTCGCCTTTTGCTGCTGCTCAATGAGAAAGTTGTTGTCTTTGTGTCACAACCTGACACCTGATGCCCTTCACAAAATGTCTGTCTTCACAATGGCTTCTTTGAATCATCTCCCTCCAAAATCCTGCCACTAGAACAAAATGATGCTCCTGTTTTCTAGTGAAATTTCATAATATCTTTAAAAGAAACGGCAGGTGCACTGTCAATGTTTTGTTGTTTTGGAGGAAAAAAACCTGAAAGGTGTGCCAGTAACTTGACAAAGCACAATGCACACATCATCTCCATGACAACTGACTGCGGCAGTTACCTCTATCTGAGCCACTGCTACCACATTTTTCAAACTATTACTCCATTTTTATTAGGGATGTGAAGTCTCAGCTGCCTGCACTCAGGACTGACTGCCACCTCTTTATTGTCCCCGGTCAGCTAATTAAAGAAAGTAGTTTATGCCAAGAGTGCGCTCAAAAAGTCCAACCACACAATAGTCGGCTTTAAACAACTGGAAGTTAAAAGGTTGTTATAAGTAATGCGTCCCTCCAAACACTTCATTTTACTCATTAGCATGACTTACTCACCGCCATATTACTTTCCTCTTCCCTTTTTTGTCGTGCAAATAATCCACACATATCTAGATTTTCCGGGAAAAGGAAAGATAACTAGAGAACGCAAAGTTTGAAACTACAGATCTACCCGGCCATTTCTATGTAAATAATTCAACTTATTGATATTGGATGAACTCTATTTTATATATTTTTGTGAAGCATGACTTCATGAATGTGTCGCATGGCAACGTTTTTTCATACTCAAAGGTTCTACACTTCTGAATCAGACGAGGAATTTTGTGTAAGCCAAGGCAAGTTTATTTATAAAGCACCTTTCAACTCAAGGCAATTCAAAGTGCTTTACAAAAATGAAAAACATTTAGAGCATTAGGAAATTGTGCAGCAGAAACACATTATTAAAAAGCAAAGAGAATAAAATAAACATAAAACAAGCTAATATAGAATAACACCGGTATAAAATACATGAATAAAAGTTAGTGCGTATTGATATTTGATCAATAGGCTTAATTTCCCAGTTAATGACTGATTTCCTACAAAACAATATGTACACATTTGTTGGTTGAAACTGAGTAACTGTATTGGCTTCATTAAAAAAACGAAAACAATACCTAACTGCACTTCCAACTACATTGCATAACAGTTGGTAAAATGCAAATATGTTGACCTGATTTAACACATTGGAGTGCTGTAACTAGGGCTGTTCTGCACATATGGCGGACAACAGAGGGTCACTAGAAGGCTCTCATTAATTTTGTATCAGCGCCTCATGAGCGTCAAAGGATTCTTGTTCTATAACACTGTCTCTTTGCGTCTCCTTCTTATCTCTCACCCTGTGTCTGCTCTCTATCTCTCCCTCTGTCTCTCCATCACACACTGCCTCTCTCCCGCCCCGAGCTCCCCTGCAGCGCCTGTGACAAGTTGACCGGGGGGAGAGCGGGGACAAAAAAGGCCCTTAGTTTTGTGCCTTGAACAAGCTTCCCTGCCCACACACGCTCACACAAACACACACACACAAGACACACATATACCCAAGGGCGGCTAGCTCGAAGGGGGTTGCCATGGAGACAAGACCCGGGGCGAGAAAGAAGGAAAGCGAAGAGATGGATGGTGTAGGGGAGGGATGGATGATGGCCAGGGACTGATTTTTGTTTTTAAGTGTCATCCTGCCTCTGAAAATGCAGCTCCCTTGTTTTTCTCGCTTTTCCGCCCAGACTGCTGGAGGACGTGGGGTCAGGATTGCATTTCAGCTCTTCCACCTCCTTCTCCACCATGTGTTTAATCAAACGCTGGCCTTTCACTTTCTAGAAGGTTAGGAAGAAGAGAGAGCAAGGTAACTAACTGAAGAAATGAGGAGGATGAGGGAGGGTGAGAGTCAGACCATTATACAGTTCAGCCAAACTCAAATCTCTTGAGATAGTTGATTAGATAATTGCCGTGCTACGTGACTGACTTTGTGAGTGATCATGTAATTGTAATCGACCTGAGAATGATGTTCGCCAATGTGTTCTTCCCCTTCAACGCAACCAAGTGAACATGTAAAGGCTTTCTCCCACTTTCTTAAAAGTTTTTTTCCTCCAACAGAAATCCAATTCCACAGTGAGGCTCATGCATACATAAGGGGTTTTATCAGCCTCTGCATTGCATGTATTTGTGTGTTTGTATGCATATATTTAAGAGCAATTACTGATAACATAGTAATTATCCCTTTCTCCCTCCCTTTCTCCTTCTATTTTCTTCTTTTGTCCACCTTCTTTAAACCCACCATCCATTACTGCCCCACTCCTGTGCTTCCCTCACCTCCTCTTTCTTCCTTACCCCTTCTTCTATCACCCCCTGCTTCTTCAGGAGGATGTCCGTGCGGACGTGGTGGACTGCGTTGTGCGGGACATCCAGAACAGCCAGTGCCTGATGAACGTGGAGTACACGGGTGCCAGCTGCCCACATGTCACCATACAGTTCGGAGACACTAAGGACGATGTGGGCCTGGGCCTGGTCAAGGAGGGCATGGTCATGGTGGACGTCCGCAAGGAGAAGCACCTGAAGAAGATGGTAAGTGATGAGATGGAGGGATGAAAAGCTGGCGATTGGGAGGCATTTGTGGTAAATGAAGCAATTTCAATAGATCTATTGAAGACATAAAAATAAATTGGAGGCTTCTTCTGTTTCTCTCCCTGAGTCGATTGCTTGTTTTCACTTTTAGGCAACCAATGACTCTCTATTTTCAAGTAAATGACAGTTAGGGTCTCACTGGGGCTGTAGACTAAGCAGTCATGGTTAATTATATTGCCAAATAACTGGTTACAGTACAGATTTGGCTTTCTGTGTTCAGTGGATCCACATTTGGAAAACAGTGCTGACCGACACTGATAGTTCTTTATAATAATGGTAAGATTGAACTGTTTTACTTCAATGTAGAAACAAGTCCAAATCGTATTCTTTCTTAGCTACTGAACAGTTGTGTATGCACCATGACAAAATGCGATCGGCACACTGTATCATGTTGGAGTTTTTTTTCCACCTGATCCGAGGAAAAAACATTCAAAAGTGCTTATAAACCTGAACGGATGCACCTTTTTTTCCCTTTGATATTGCCACATTGTGAACAATCTGTGTTGTAATAGGTAGTTTACGTTATCTGTCAACAGCACATACTGTTCCTGATTTGCTAAATATCACAGGTTCAATCATATACCATTATTATGCGTTCAAGCTCTATTTAATAATAACAGTTAAGCCATCCCTACTCTTATGTGCATGAACTGCCTGTGTGAAATATTGCTTTTATTGAACAGTTAGGGATCCATACAGGAATGTCAGTTTCTGTACATTTTCTATTGATTTCCCGGCTCTACTCTCACTGTTGTGTGCATACTGTATGTCAAACAGAAAATCTCATCTTTCTTTCAAAATATGACTTATTATTCTCAACCTACTTCATGTTACTCAGTGGCTCACAGTGCTGTCAAAATGCAGAGTATGGATCAATATTTGTGTCAGCGCTGTTGTAAATAGACAATGCCACCAATCAAACTAATGGTAGGAGGTGATACATTTTTTAACGGTGCACTAAATGTTTACTATTGTCATCGGCAAATGGGCCCCTTGTGTATTATTTCATGTGAAAAGGGTCCATATCCCGCCTATGGCTCTCTAGCAGTCCTATAATTACAACATATCTATGCTAGCATGTATCCGCCCAGTCGTTTCCATCTCAGTTTGTCATGTATGGATTTCCTTTTATAAATGGAGGCTAGTATCACATTAAATGCCTGCAGGTTTTCAAATGTGAGCACTGTGGCACTAGACACGCAATACCTCTCCACACTTGTCAATCCACATCCGCACAATTAACACACCTTTACAATTTGCCTCAGATGGCAGCCATTTTGTCAAACCGTGAAGCGTCCTTCATTTACTTTCCTCTCATTATGCTTATTCTCCCAGCAGACGCAGCGCCGCTCTGTACACGAAAGATAAAGAAAAACGGAGGATATTTATTCCTGCTGCAATTACCGCTTACGTACAAGCCCAATATTAGACACTCTGTTATTTTGTTTTAAAGTGCAATGCTCAATGGAACAGACAAGTATGTCCACTAGAGTGTAATTGTTCATAAACATAATGAAAATATATATTCCTGTACATTAGAGGCTGGTGGCAGGAACACATTTGTTCTTCCACTCACACATGGCGATGTAGTTACTAACTCATTCTTGTTCACACCAATAAAAGCACTTGCCGCCTCTTTAGTCAGTCAATAAAGCACTGTGCATCATTGTAAGAGTGTTTTGACCCCTGACCTCTCAAGAGTAGCCAGGAACTATAATGCAGTCTCTGGGTAATGGACCCTATAGACAAAGGACAGTGATTAAAACCTTTCAGCCATACCACTAATAGGCTTATAGACTGTGCAGATTTAGGTTTTTGTTGGTTTCTTTTTAGTATTCAACAGCTGCATCTCCAGCATTCGCCTCTCCCTTACTGACAAATGTTTTGATCTGGAGAAAGCTTAACAAGCAGCCGTGTTGCCAATGTGCTTACAAGTGAGTGTTGAAGTAAGCTCTGCAGCATTTCTTGTGGATAATTTCACCCATCACGTCTGCTTCCAAACTCAAAGACCAACAAGCCCAAGTGTGATTAGGCAACATTTCAAACACGTAAATGTGTGTCTGATTTATAGAATGTGTGGGTTTAGCAGTTCTGATGTATATAGTCGCCACATTGCCCAGCGAGAAGTCCTCTACCTGAGCAGTGATGGAGCTTACATGGTTCCCTTTCTGGTCTTTAAGGCTTTATTAGAGATGATAAAAGATTATTGACTATATGGATTAGTTGAGCCCTTGGAGAAATCCAATATGTTGCAAGGGATTTATTCCCTCTGCCGTTTTTCAAACTTCATTTTAAAGAAATGTGTCAATATAGCTTTGAAATGCTGTTTGTCTAGTTATGTTTAATGTTTTGGTTTTGGATTGCTGGTCAATTGGTACAAGACATTTCAAAACATCACCCTGATATTTGGGAAATGACTTTAACAAATCTGTCATCTTGTAGACCAAATGATCCTGGTTGTTCAGAACAAAATGGGTAGAGAATGAAATTGCAGCCATAGCATGGACAGGGAATGTTTTGATGTTGTAAATCAAAACCATTGTGAATATGTTATTCTTTCAATTTCACCCATCCCTATATGATATGCACCTTCAGACTCCTGCTTTCGATGAAGGCCTTTACATTTGACATATATTTGCTGTGAAATGTCCCTTTTTTTGTCATTTAAAGTAGATGTAGAGTCATTTGTTTGCAGGGTGCATTTCTCATGAACAGCGCTGCAGCTGCTGCTGGTGCCACAACAGAAAATGTTATCTCGCAGGGGCAGTGGAGCCATGAAATGTTCCAAGAAACAACCTTTTGTTGACCTCTGGATCCGTGCCCCCATTCTCCCCCTCTTTTATAGAAAGTTCCCCCCGAGCCTTTGATAGTGTGCTATCCAAACCGGCTCTCCCTGAGCTCTTTCTTTCCTCCTTTCTCTCCTCTCACTCGTCCAGACTATCAGCCTCCTTGTAAAAGTGACTTTTGTCCTTCATATCTGTTCCATTTTGGCTCTATTCTTTATTCATTATCCATTCCAGGGGATTGGAACATGGTCATTGTAATCTGTACTCTCGCTCTAAGCATTGCGTAACAGATGGGCCCTAATATTCACTGGCACTTCAGTGACTATCAATAGTCAGTCATAAGTGCACTGAAGGTTAACACCAGTCTTTGAGGATGGCATTGTCCCAAGAGAGGGAGAGCAGAGAAGGATGCTCATCCATTTGGGGTTTTATGTCATTTTTCTAGAGTATCTCTGCCTTTAAGCCCTACATTCACTGATGCTCACTATGTGCACCATATGGATGGATTTAGTTGCAGCTATACTATCACGGCATAGGATAAACAGTCGTTGGGAAAAGTGTAGGCGAAAAGATGATCGTATGCACGCCAGCTGCTTGTATCCAATTGGAGGGAAGAGGGATATTAAAAGGGAGGCAGGAACTCAAAGAAGGAGGCTGATGGAAAATCAGTAAACCAAATTAACGATTGATAATCTGTTCTTAGTGAGGAGAAACTGACCGAGTGACCGAGAGCTGTCGGGTTAAAGTATATTTGGCCTACATTTTAAATATTTTGGGCTTAAGAGTAAATGACCCAAAAATGCAGATTAACATCATATATGTATTTATTCTATGTGCACACACATACTGTATTTACACTTACAGTAGACAGATTTAATGTCATATAGAGTTTAATCTGTTCTACATCTGGCATATCGTGTGTAGTCCTCCTGCACGAGGCTCTGATTTTTAGATTATTGACTGAGAGCGATATCATTGCTTGATGACCGGCACAGCATTGGAAACAGAAGGGACATTAATGCGCTTTACATTTTATACAGTAGACACAACAGTTCAGGCATCAGGGGCCAGTAACTCACATCTTTTCTCTTGAAGAAAGACTACATCCATCGGGTCTTACTACATCACATTTTTCATGTCCTTATTTCTCCGTCTGCTCATTCTCTCTTTCACTACTCAGACATTTTAATTTCAGCTTTTGTAGAAATCTTATTTGATTGTTGCCAAAGTCTCGGTAATGGCCAACACGTTGTCAGGTACAATTGCAACATGAAATCTTAATGTTGGTACCATTTAAAAAAAGCTGTTGGCGAAGCAGAACAGTAACGGTTGCTCCTGGCAGCCATAGTCAGTGTTTAGTGTCAGGTCATTTGGTCTGATTGCCTTGAGTTGTGAACAAAATCTGTTTCTTCCCTTCAGTCAAATCTAGGAAATGCGTAGATATGAGTGCATCGATTTTCCCTGTCACAAATCGCAAGAAAGTGTTTATGTTCAATCAAAAAGGCATCAGCAAAAATGTAACAATAGTATAACTTAAAGGGGCCATTTTCCCCCACATCCAAAAATGTTGATTTGTAGTTCTATTTTTTGGCCTACTTTCTTTAGGTGTTATTTGCTGAGTCTGTCTGCATTCTATCCAATATAAGATACCTACATGCAGGTATTGCAGCTCAAAAACCCAACACCAATGTCTTTTTCCAGAAATCGTGACCTTGATATTCCAGATTATCTACACAATTTGTGAAAGAGACATTGCTGTTGAGATTTCTACAAATGTATTTTTTTGTCACTTTGAGCTTTACAGACAAAGCAACAATCTATTTATATTATACTGGAGAGAAGGAAGACATGTCTGCAGTCAATATCTGCAACACTAAAATAATAAATTGCAAAAATAATCAAGGACAATATATCTTTTTGATTTGGGGGTTTCACTCTTTAAGTATAATCTGAACATCTTTTTAATATAAGGAATTATTACTTAGAATATGACAGCTTTGGCGACCAGAAGGTGACTGGTGTTTGCCCAACAATAAACTTAATAAACTTCCTGTTGGGTTCCTTGTGTGTTTCAAAAGACAGGCTGCAAACCACATTTGACTTTTTCTTTCTTACTATGACCTGAAACTTACACACTGTATTCATGCCTTCTCC